TTCATAGCGGTTTAATTAAACCGCGATTAAATGGCAGTTCGGTAGTGATCGTTGTCACAGACGATGCGCCCAACGAATGGATTGATATAACCCAATTAAGCATGCAGGCACATTAGGGTAGTGCAGTCTGAAATGAATTTGATATTTTCAAGATCTTAAGGTTTTTTGGATTTCTAACGCGTTGAAGTAGATTTTCATATCAAAAAATATTATAGTATTTGGGCAACAATATTTAGGTGTTCTATGAAAAAGAATCGAGTTTGAAAGAGGATTTAATCCTAAAATATTTTTTACTTTTCTGAAAACATTTGCATAAAAGATTTTTCTTTGGTTTTTTATTTCAAATTTGCTTACCCTAATGTCAAATATTTAAGCAGTATTAATTATTGCGTAAAATGCAAAGGCGTTATAGTTGCATAAAAGGCAGCACAGAAGCTTTGAATTCATTTTAACGGGCGTGTATACAAATACTTGAATGTATATAACAGTAATACATATGGGAACATACTGGTTTCAAAATGTTACGTATACGCAGTGGCAACTGTGATTATCAAATAAATGTAATCTGAAAATATTAATCGCAGTTAATATGTAAATGTTTAAAATTATATTTCAGAATGAAAGCAYTTTATATATATTTTATAATATTTCATGTTTTTTTCAGAAACTTACTTAAACTATTAATTATAATAATATGAATGTTTTAATAAAGTAGCTAATCCAAAGCGAATTTATTAGCACAGAAAGTGTGATCAACGCAATAGTATATATTAGTGGATATAAAAAGGAACCAAAGCCTCTTCTTCTGGCTTATAATCACCATTTACTTTTTGTAAGATATAATCAGAAAAATATTTAATTTTTCATTCATTATTTAAAAAAATTTACTTTACTCCGATTATTTTCTGACAGGATTTGTTATTTGAACTGTACCCTTAGAAGAGAAAATTGCATTGCTGAGAATTTTTTTATTAACAGAAAAAAACTTCATATAATATAAAATAAAACGCAATAGCTTAGAAACAGAAAACCTACCAAATTCTGTTCCGTTCAAAACAGAATTTCG